TTTTTTTTTTGTGATTATATAAGTCATGATGGTTGCATTCTTTTGCATTGTATTTAGTAGTTTTAATTGTGCCTTTTCTTGTGTAGATGGAAAAACCACCAGGAGTGGTTTCGAATCGGTTACGTTCCCTGCTGGACCGTGCAACAATCGAACGAATATGGCCTGAGCACGTAGATGTCCTCGACCAGTCTTGGAAAACTGACGGTACGCAATGTTCGCGGCCTCCTCTCACTGTTTACCTCAAGGGCGAACTGTGGGTTTTTGAAACTAGCTATAGGTTTAGGAACTAGGAGCTTTCATCAAACTCGCAAGTCTTGGTATTGATGGAATTTGAAAAGGGTTGGGCGTTATTCGCTTGATACGTAATTAATTGTTGAATGATTTCACTGTTCTACATTCTGACGCCGTTTTGCTTCCGATTTTGCTAATTCTAATCACTAGTACCTATATTAATGTACCAGGCGGCTACGCACTCTATCGCGTCCACTAGGGGCTCTAGTCATAAGAGAAGGAGCCACATGAGCTGATTTTCATTATACATCTTTATCGGATTTATGAACTTCCGCTCAAACCCCGCTCCCTGAAGGCGGAGTCCAGTCCTGCCACCTATAAGTGTTCCATCTTGTTCCTGTACTCCTACCAAGTTTGAACTTTCTAGCTCCACTTTGACAGGATCTATGAATTTCTGCTCAAACCCGCCCCCTGTGGGCAGAGTCTGGTCCTGCCACCCACTATAAGTGTTCCCATCCTGTCGCCTGTACTCCTACCAATGTTGAACTTTCTAGGTCCATGAGGACAGGGGTTATGGATTTTCGTATCTAAATATAAGAAGGGATGTGAGCTTCGAGGCACGCTCCGCCCATTGTGTGCGGGCCTCCGCTGACGCCATTTGTGCTGGAGACACCTTCGACAGTGCTTCTCCTATATCACCTTTTCCTGCTTTGTTGGCTTTCTCCAAACCGAGTTATAAATGTTTTCACAAAGCATTGTATTTTTGGAGAACGCCTCGCCCATCGGGGGTGGGTCTCCCCTGTTGGATCTGACTTACCAATGCACGCCTCTAGCCCCCTTTACACCCAAGTTTTGAAGCCGTCTTGTGACTGAATTTGAAATCATGGTCCTCAGTACAGCTCAATTCGATGCACGCCACGCCCATTGTGAGCGGGGCTCCGCCAAGCTGATGTGTGCTTTATACTTCTCGGGACGGCCCACCCATCCCACGTTTGACCCGGTCTCTCCAGGCAGATCTAAAGGATCGCTGAGGTTTTGCCGAAACACTCAATTTTTCTTCTCTAAAGTTTTATACAATCAAAAGGGTTAAGAGTAAAGTCAGGTAGCAGAACTCGACGCAAATTTAGTAATTATCCCGTGTTAGTTCAATTCTGAAACCAGTCAGATCGCCCACCCAAGGCCGGGCCATCCTCCTTTCAATGTTTAGGTTGAAATTCCTTAGGCCTATCATTATTCTTTCCCCTTTGTGCCCGAAAAAGTTGGTCTGTTGCCACTATAGCTACATTGACAGCTATATTAAAGTAGAGCTGTGAATCTGTTATGCACAAGCTCGAAGCTTTCTGGGCAGCATTATCGATTTTGAATTTCCCATCCCCCTCCTGCCACCTGCCATTAGTGTTACTCTCTTACCATCTGTATCCTACCCCTGTGGTGGAGTCACCACCTGTGACTACTATCAGCGTTCCCAGTCCTCCTCTGTATCCCTTTCAAATTTGAACACTCTAGGTCCAGCGGATCAGGAATTATGTATTCACGATGTATTTCGATTTCAGGAAGGCGTTGTAAGGTGGTGAGAATTGAGAATTAGATGAATGGAAATCTGTGGTTTATATATAGTACCAGTCGGATCGCCCAGCTAACGCCGGGTTCTTCTCCTTCTTATGTAATGCCCGGCTATGCCGGGCATCCCCTTTTTATCTAAGAGGGACATAGATTGGTACAATCAATCTGGCATTTCCTTTTGATCAATATAAAATGAGACTATTTCATTCTAATAGTGACTAACACTTTTTATGACTAAGAATCTTTGTGACCGGAGTTCATACATAACAAAAATTTTGACCCACTCAAAAGAGTCAGA